AATGGTTTCATGAGCTATAATCAATAATTTTTTGGGCTTTTTTTATTAGTTTGACATATACGCCAATAATTTTACAAAGTCTAAAATTCACGAATTCATTTGCTATAACCAATATTTTTTTTACCATTTTTAGCCATTTCTACCCATTAGAAAACAATTTCACGGGCTCCCAAATTCACAATTTTATGAGCTATACCCATATTTTTTGGCCATTTTTATTGCTTTGACCCAAAAGCAAATAATTTCACAAAGTTCAAAATTTATGATTTCATAAGCTATAATCCATGCGTTTTTGGTGATTTTTATTTGACTAGCAATTGGCAAAGAATTTCGTGGGGTCCAAAATTCACGATTTTATAAGTGATAACTCACAAATTTTAGTGCAAAATTAATGATTTTATGATTTTTTTTTTTTTTGCCATCTTTAGTCAATTCTATCCATTGAATCAAAATTTTTTGGTCATTAAATAGTGAATTGTGAACTTTGCAAAATTATTTGTCTATTAGTCGAGCCAAACGAAAATGGGTACAATTCATTGGTTACTCATCAAATCGTTAATCTTGAACTCCGCATAATTGTTTTCCATTGGGACGAAACAAAAATGGATAGTGGCTTCTTGCTCATGAAATCGTGAAATTTAAACTCTACTTAATTTATTTTCATTGTGTCTATGGGTAGTCCAAAATGCAAACCAGACTCCTTTTTACCCAAAAATAGAATTGGGATGAACAAATATTGACAAACATTATAGATTACATCTCATGAAATCATGAGTTTTAAACTCTTCAAAATTATTTGTCGTTGGGTCAAGACGAGTGAAAATCATAAATTATAGCACACGAAATCATGAATTATGAACTCCATATAATTACTTGTGATTAGAATGAAACGAAAAAAATAAAAAAAATATTTGTGGCTCATAGCTCATGAAATCGTGAATTTTAAACTCCAATTAATGATCTCCTGTTTGGTTAAAACAGACAAATTGAAAAGCTTAAGAAATCACATATTCTAAACTCCGCACAATTTTTCAACTAAAAATAGGGGAATAAAACCCCGTTCATATTGAACTCCGTAAAATTATTTACAACTAGGTAAAAACAAGTGGAAATGGACAGAAATCATGGGTTATAACTCATAAAAACCGTGAATTTTAAAATCTACATAATTATTTCATGTTTGGGTTGAAAGGAAAAATAATGCACAAAACATGTGAGTTATATTTCACGAAAATCATGAATTTTAAACTCCGCTTCATTATTTATCATTAGGTCAAAATGAATGAAAATAAAAAAATCACAAGTTCATAAAATTGTGAAGTTTGAATCTAGTAAAATTATTTGTTATTGTGTCTAAAAAATCCTAGGTTATAGCTCACGAAATTGTGAATATTTAACTCAACATAATTATTCATTATTACGTCAAAACGAATGAAAATGAGCAAAATCTATGGCTTTTAGCTCATAAAATGTTGAATTTTGTCAAAAATTTATTTCTTAGAATGTCAGAATGAATGAAACAGACAAAAATCCTGGCTTATAGCCTATGAAATTATAAATTGAACCCTACAAAATTATTTCTCATTGGGTCGAAATGAAAGAAAATAATAAAAAAGAGTAACTTACAGCTCATGATAGCCTTAATTTTGAGCTCCAAATAATTACGTACCATTAGGTCAAAATAAATAAAAATTAACAAATATTGTAGCTTCTAGCTCTTGAAATCAAGAAATTTTAACTCTGCTTAATTTATTGCCATTACGTTGAAACGAATAAAAATAAACAATAATCATACGTTATAGGTCATGAATTTATGAATTTCAACTCTACAAAATTATTTATCATTAGGACAAAACAAACTGAAATGAACATTAATCATGAATTATATCTCTTGGAATTGTGAATTTTAAACTCAGTTTCATTATTTTCGTTTAGTGAAAACAAACAGAAATCGTGAATTTTAAAATATGAATAATTATTTGTCCATTAGTCAAAATGAAAAAATCGTGGCTTATAGCTCATGAAATATTAAATTTATCCATATAATTTTTTCTCATGATTTGCAACAAATGAAAAAGAATAAAAATCAGGGCTTGTAGATCATAATATCGTTAATTTTGAACTATGTAAAATTATTCACCAATAGATCGAAATGAACAAAAATGTATAAAAGTCATTTAAGATCATGAAATCCTAAAATTAATAAAAAATTGATAGTGTATAACTCATAAAATCATTAGTTATAATCCATGAAATCATGAATTTGAACTCCACAAAATTATTTACTACTTGGTCGAGACAAACGAAAATGGAAAAAAGTTGTAGTTTACAACTCATGAAATCATAATTTTTAATCTCTCTTAATTTATTTTCCATTGGATCAAAATGAGTAAGAATTTACTATGATCAAAGGTTAACTCATGAAATTAGGAATTTTAAACTTCACAAAATTTTGTCATTTGCTCAGACAAACGAAAATAGACAAAAGTCGTCGGTTGCAGCTCATGAAATCGAGAACTTTGACTCCGCTTAACTATTCTCTATTAGGTCAAAATGAGCAAAATTTAACTAAAATCGTTGGTTATACCTCATGAAATCGAGAACTTTAAACTCCACATAATTGTTTGATATTCGGTCAAAAAGAACTAAAATGAATAAAAAAACATTATTTATAGCTAAAAATCATGAATTTTGAACTATGCTTAAATATTTGTCATTCGATCAGACAAACAAAAATGAACAATAATAATGGGTAATAGCTTATGAAAACGTGAATTTTGAATTCCGTAAAATTATTTGTCATTGGACAAAAATGAATGAAAACAGATAAAAACTATGTATTATAGCTCATAAAATGTAAAATTTTGAACTTTGCAAAAATAATTACTGTTGGGTCAAAGTGAATGAAAATGAACAAAATTCATGGCTTACTTATGAAATAATGAATTTTGATCTATGCATAATTTTGTCATCAGGTATAATTTTGTCATCAGGCTGAAACGAACAAAATTGGATAAAAATCATGGTTTCTAGCTCATGAAATCACAAATTTTAAAATCCACTTAATTTATTATCACGGGTTTAAAATGATAAAAAAATAAACAAAAATCATAGATTTTAGTTTATGAAATCGTGAATTTTAAACATTACAAAATTGTTTGTCACTAGGTGGAAAAGAGTGGAAATGGACAAAAATCATAGATTATAGGTTATAAAATTATAGATTTTGAACTCTGCATAATTATTGACCATTTGGTCAGAATGAACAAAAATCATATGTTATACCTCATGAAAATCGTGATTTTTGAACTCCCATTAACTATTTCCTATTTGGTCAAAATGAACAACAATGAACAAAAATCATGGGTTACAAAGCTTATGAAATCAAGAATATTGAACTTTGTAAATTATTTGTCATTGTTTCAATAGGAGTGAAAATGGATAAAAATCATGGATTTTCATGAAATCATGAAAATTATTTGTCATTGTGTCAATAGTAGCACAAACAAATAAAAAACATGGATTATAGCTCATGAAAATTACAAATTTAAACTCCACATAACTATTTCTCAATGGGTCAAAACAACTGATAATTTTTATTCCTTTCAATTGAAAGTCAATCAAGTATACATATTTTAAAATCCAAGATTTTCATGAGTTAGAATCTATTATTTTTTATTCATTTTTCGCTTTCCGACCCAAGGTCATTTTAGTATGTATACTCATAATTTTTGGATTTGCATTAGTGCTAACCTAGGGTTTTTTTAGCATTTAGCTATTTCAATCTAATGACAACTAATTATATGTACTTCAAAATTCATGATTATCATAAGCTATAAATTCACTGATTTTTTTATTTTTATATTTCGATCCAATAGCAATTAATTATGCATGCTTTAAAACTCCAATTTTCAAAGGTTAATGTAGTTTTTTTACCCATTCTTTCTTGTTTAGACCCAATGAAAATTATGTACTCAAACTTCCAAATTTGTGATTTTCCATGGGCTACCCATGATTATTTTCCATTTCAACCTAATGACAATGAAATACACTTATTTCAAATCTACAATTATTGTTCATGTTTTTTTCCCAATTGACCTCATGGCAATTAAATACACGAGCTTTGAATTTGTTTACTCTGTGGGTTATAAGTCACCAATTTTGTATATTTCAACCAAATGTTATTAAGTGCCATTACATAAAAAGACATGATATCATAGACTATAACTCATAATTTATGTCCATTTTTATTACCTTCGACCCATAACCATTAAATACGCGTACTTCAGAATATTCAATTTTCATATCACTTTCATTTTTTCTATGGACAAATTTTCAAAACCATCCGGTTTTAAAATTTATTCCCAAAAAAAGACCCCTTTCAATCTTAATTTCAAAAACAGACCTAGTTGGATGAAACTGTCTGTTTTTGAAAAAAAAATTTCCAAACTTCACGGGAATTGAACTCCCGTGAAGTTTTTTCTCATAACAAAACTTCACGGAAAACTTGAAATTTTTTTTTTCAAAAACCGACCCAGTTTCAACCAACTGGGTCGGTTTTTGAAATTAAGGTTGAAATGAGTCGTTTTTTTATAAATAAATTTCAAAAGTGGATGGTTTTAAAAATTTGTCCTTTTTTCTATTTCAACTCATTAACAATTAAGCATGCTTACTTCAAAATTCATGATTTTTATCAACTTTATGTTGCTCTCATCGCTAGTAAGTACACGTACCGCAAGATTTTCAATTTTCAAGAGTATAAACTATGGTTTTGTCCATTTCTTTGTTTCTACCCAATAAAAATTAGGTATAGTTACTTCCAATGCTACAACTTTCATGAATTATAACCTACAATTTTTATTCTTTTTTGTTCATTTTTACCCACACTCAATTATGATGATCTAACCCCTCTAAAATTTTCTATTATTTGTTTATTCCGACTCACTCTACAATTGCCTACTCAACTCTTGACACGAAAGAAACAAATTACAGATGCAAAGTAGACAACATACATTTATGCAACATTTACAAATATGGAAACTTGTACAACAATTACATCCATGGATACAAGCACATATAAAGCAGGGCAATAACTCTCACCAGTAGATTACCAAACTTGAAGACAACAATGACTGTAGAATTAACTGCACTCGCTTAGCCATTCAAATCCTATTATGCTGCTTCATCTAATATATGTGTGTGTCTCAGGCAAATAATGCTGCTAATTAGAAGTTATAAATAAGAAAATGGTTTACCCTCTCTCATGCAAAACAGTAGACAAACTATTTTGCATAGAAGTATAAAAGCACCAAGTCTATAAAATATGCACTGTTATGAGACTATCTAAATACAAAAAGGAAATGATTGCACATCAAGAGTAGACAAATTAGGAAATATGAAATAGTGAATCAAAGCATAAACATGACTTTGATGAGTCTCTACTAGTATCTAGAAATCTACCATTATATTACATGCAGATTAAAGTAACTTGCATGCAGAGAACATAGTAAACATGAATTTTATTTGAGGTGCTACCCTTTGTAATATGCCTAAAATCATAATAAAATACAAAAAAAAAGATTAAAGTGTTATTTTCTTGATGGAATTAGAATTATGCTCACAGGATTTCATATGCCTAAGATCATAATAAAATACAAAAAAAATTTAAAAATACAATTAGAGTGCTAATTTTTTAAGGGAATTAAAAGTATGCTCACAGGATTTCATCGTAGATTATAATTTGAAACCCTATATAAACCCTAATCATACTAAAATTCAAGAAATTAAAGTGTCCATAGAAACAACGCATCAAGAACAAAATATCATAGTTCGAAACCCTAGACAAACCCTAATCATACAAAAATTCATGAAATTAAACCAAGATTAACGCGCACACTCAGACGATGTCACAGATAAAAAAAAGTCAATAATGAAATATACCTAAATCACAGCGATGATCAAACTGACGATGGTGGATCTCCCGAACAACTTCATCAACAAAAATACTGGAACATCCAATTCATCGCCTTCATAAGGTGGAGTGCGGCATAGGCAAATGCTACAATATTTTTGCTAATGAAGTTGATCGGGAGATCCACCATCGTCAGTTTGATCATCGCTGTGATTTAGGTATATTTCATTCTTGACTTTTTTTTTATCTGTGACATCGACTAAGTGTGTGCGTTAATCTTGGTTTAATTTCATGAATTTTTGTATGATTAGGGTTTGTCTAGGGCTTCGAACTATAATATTTTGTTCTTGATGCGTTTTGTCTATGAACACTTCAATTTCTTGAATTTTAGTATGATTAGGGTTTATATAGGGTTTCAAATTATAATCTCCGATGAAATCCTGTGAGCATGCTTTTAATTCCCTCAAGAAATTAGCACTCTAATTGTATTTTTTTTCTTTTTTTTGTATTTTATTATGATCTTAGGCATATGAAATCCAGTGAGCATAATTTTAATTCCATCAAGAAAATAACACTTTAATCTTTTTTTTGTATTTTACTATGATTTTAGGCATATTACAAAGGGTAGCACCTCCAATGAAATTCGTGTTTACTATGTGTTTACTATATATTCTACAGTTAAAATGCACATAGAAAAGGAGCACTCTTTCAACGTGAGTGTGAATGAAAATAAACAAGTGATGACTCGGGTCAATTACATTAGTTAGGGCCTCAGATTAGCATTTTGGCACATTAATCTTAGCCAGCAGAAACTCAGGCACCAAGCCTCACGCACAATGTTGCTGTGGCTCATGCCTCGAATTTTCATCATCGGTGGGGATCTAAGCTTTTAATTCCACATGAAATAGAAAACAAATGAACCCACTTGAATATTAATCTAAAAAGTTATATAGCAGAAAATTAAGTCAGGCAAATAATACCGAATAATTATTTCAAGATAAATATTTAAAATAAATATTAATAAAAAAGCCTCAGATTAGCATTTTGGCACATTAATCTTTGCCAGCAACAAATTAGGGCAAAAAGCCCTACGCACAATTGATTGTTCTGGCTCATGACGTTATGTCGTCATCATCGGCCCAATTGATTGTTCTGATATCAAAGATTCAAACTTTTTAGAAAACACAAAAAATTGCGAACAAACTCAGATAAAAAAAAAATTAATAATAGAACGCGTCGTCGACGATCGTTTAATTAGAGGAGGATTGCGAATCACAGAGACATTAGATGTTCATAGAATCGAAGATTAGAGAAGGCTTACCGTCGAATTAGGGTTCTTCGAAAACCCTAGCGCCGACTAACTTTCTTTCTCCTGTTTCGCGCAGTTTATAATGAGCTTGGTAAATTACTGAAATCACCTTGACATGTCATTTTTCGCTAATAGGCCCTTTTGAACTTTCAAATGCTGAGATTATACCCTCGTTCTGTTGATTTTTCGATGCCTCTATTTTTTTTTTCAGTGACTCCTACTAGTTTTCTTTAAACACAATTATTGTGCCAAGCAAATATTTACTTTGGGCAAGAGCAACCATTTATTTATTTAATATTTCTAGGATTGCTTGACTCAGGGCGCGTTTGGTTGCCTCTTTTAGAGGGGGAAATGGTTTGAAAGCCTGCCAAAAGTGTCAGTTTTGACAGGCTTTCTTGCAAAAACACCTCTAAAAAAAGCGTTTTTACAAGAAAGCCTGTCAAAACTGACACTTTTGGCAGGCTTTCCCCTTCCCCCTTATGCAAACAAACAACACCTCATTGCAGCACTGCTTACATGCAATTGCAATTAATTGTTATTGGTTCGGGGAAAAAACAAAGTTGAAAAAAAATAGTGAGCTATAGAACATAAAAATTGTAAATTTTTAATTTTTCTTACTTAATTGTCATTTATTCAAAAAAATCAAAAAGGAAAAAAATTGTGATTTTGAAATATGCATACTTGATTGTTATTGGATCGAAGGGAACAATAATTTTTTTAAATAAACATAGAGTTTGAATTATGCAAATTTAATTGCCATGAACATCATGAAGTTTGAAGTATGCAACTTAACTGCCACAAGTTTGAAAGAAATAAAAATAGATAAAAATAATGGATTATAACTCATTAAAATTGTAAATTTTAAAGTACACGTATTTCATTTTCATTATGATCAAAAGGAATAAAAATAATGTGTTATAACCCATAAAAATCGCCAATTTTAAAGTACCCATTCCAAATTATCGTTGAGTCAAAGCGAACGAAAATTGACGAAATTGTGGATTGCCCATAAAAATTGCAAAATTTAAAGTACGAAAATTTAACCATCATTAGGTTGAACTGAAGAGAAATGGACAAAAACCATGAGCTGCACATGAAATTCACAGATATTGGAATACACATAATTAATTAACATTGGGTTGAAAGACAAAATTGGACAAAAATCTTAGTTATAGCTCACAAGAATCACAAATTTTGATTTTCCAATACTTGCTCGTCGGGTCCGAAGTCCACACAACCGAAAATTGCCCAAAAAATTGCAATTTATAGTTCCTAAATATCATGAAATTTGAAGTATGAAAACTTAACAGGTATCGGTCTAAAAAAACAAATATGAATAAGAATCATGAGTTATAGCTCATAAAAATTAAGAATTTAATGTACGAAATCTTAGCAGCAACATAGTCAAAATGAACGAGAATGGATAAAAAGTATTGGTTCGCTCATTAAAATCGCAAATTTTATACACTCATGCTTATTTGTCTTTGAGTAAAAAGGAACAAAAATGACAGACATATGGATTATAAGCCCATTAAAATCGTGACATTCAAAAGTACATACACTTGGTTGCCATTTTATCAAAAGAACCAAAAATGGACAAAAAAACGTGGGTACCCATGCAAATCATGTATTTTGAAATAGGTATATTTAATCGTCATGGGCCAAAATGGATGAAAATAAATAAAAATAATGGGTATAGTTTATAAAAATATTGAAGTACTCGCACCTAATTGTCATTGGGCCGAAATGAATAGAACTTGACAGAAATCATGTATCACAGTCCATGGAAATCAAAATCAAAGGATGAAAGCTCCATTGTCATTAGATCGAAATAAATGAAAATGGATAAGAATTGTGGGTTATTGCCTAATGAAGTCATAAATTTTTGAGTTATGCACAATTACTTGCAATTGAATTTCTCTTTCCTCTTCTTCTTCTTTTTTAGAGGGGGGGGGAGGGGTTGAGCTATATCTCATTAATAAACTAGAAACTAAATTACATACTCCAACTTGACTCAAAATATAAAGAATGCACCTATCTGAAAACATTCTCAAAAAGTCAAAACCAAAGCCCTACACACTTACCTAAATCTCACCCTCTTAAACATATAGCTGTGCATCTAAAAAATGAAAAGCATAAGCACCTGGATTCTGAACTGCTGCCAAGAAAGCATCTTCCATGGGAAAGAAAAATATACAAGCTGCAGCAGGACCTCCTTTAAACCCCGACTCCGCAGCAAACGGAGACATCAAAGCTTGCATTATGCAAGTATATATGAACAAACCATCACCCAACCATCATCATATGGGCACGCATTAGAACTCAGCACTAAAAAGCCACCCAAAAGCAAACCCCCCTCCCCCACCCCCAAAAAAATTTTTTTAATTAAAAGAAGGAACCGAAACCTCAACCTGAAAAGTAACTCCTCAATTCCCTCCAAAAAATTAGATTTTGATGAAGAATTGAGCCTGCTCTTGAAGAAATCTGCATCGGGGGACCTTCCTTGAAAATAAGCTCGGTTTGTGCTCGCCAAATAGTGTATACACATAAGCATCCCTTTCCTCCCCATCTTCTAATCACCCAACGAATTAAACCACACCATTTTCAAGGTATATTATCCTTCTGAATGAAAACTGAGATAGAAATCCATATATGACATATTCTTACTAAAATCACATCCAAATAATAAATGATAATATCCTCTGAATCTATATCACATATTTAAACCCCCTTCTTACCATATGCTCTCTTTTGTTAGGAGCATCTCGTTAAGAATAAGCCGAAGAATAAAACCATGCCTAGGCAGACTACTACTACCCCAGAATTTTTCTCCATGATACTTCAGGATATTCAGGGATTAACAAGCAAGCAATAAGCAGAAGAAGCACCAAAAGGAGGGTTCTTAACTGCAACCATTTGAAAAGCAATTTGTCTCAGATATAAGGCCTTCCGAGCCCCCAATATAGGGACCCCTTAACAGAAATATTCCACAAAGTCCTGCTTTACCCACGGTGAATCTACTTTAAAAGGCCATAGATGCTTCAACATCAATGCATTATTGCTATGGATTATTTGCTTAAAGCCCAAGCCTCCCTGGCTCTTCCGTTTACATACATTGCTCCAAGCAACCAAAGGGATCTTTTTTGCACAATCTCCTCCACCCCATTTATAAAAAAAAAAAAAAAAAAAAAAAAAATCCTACAAGTTCTTTCAACCTCATTTATCACTTTTTTGGAAAAAACAAAGATAGAAACCCAGAAAGTATGTATACTAAAAAGAATTCATTTGATAAGTAAAAATCATGGGTTAGAGCCTATAAAAATCATGAACTTTGTAGCATGAAAACTTAACTGCCATTGAATCAACACAAGCAAACAAAATGATAAAAATCATGGGCGACCATCATGAATTTTAAAGTACCCACACTTAGTTTCCATTGAATTAGAACGAATGAAAACGGACAATGGGTTATACTCCCATAAAATTCGTGAAATTTTGAGCTCAAACACTTAAATAATTTGTGAACTTTGAGGTATGTATACTTAATTGTCATTCGATCGAAATGAACAAAAATAAAGAAAATTAATTGGTTGCCCAAGAAAATGGTAAAGTTTGAAGTACTCATATTGATATTATGTTGAAACGAATAAAAATTGACAAAAATTGCGGTTATAGTCCACAAAAATCACAAAATTAACAGAAATGGACAGGAAACATGAGTTTCAGCCCAATGAAATTGCAAATTTTGAATTACGCATAATTAGTTGTTATGCGGTCGAAAAGAACGAAATTAGACAAAAATCACAGGTTACACAGCCTTTAAAAAACACAGATTTGGAAAAGGAAAACTTAATTGTTATTGAGTCGAAATGAACGAAAATAGACAAAAATAGTTAAGTTATAGCTCATTAAAATCGCCAATTTTGAAACAAACAAAAATTGTTAAAAATCATAAGTTATAGCCCATTAAAATCATAAGTTAGCCAAGCTTCAAAGGCGTCAAATTCCTCTCTTTTGGCTTTCATGTACTTAGTTTTCATTGGGTCAAAACAAACGAAAATTGTTTAAAATTATGGGTTATAAGATCATGAATTTTAAAATATGAAACCTTAAATGTCATATGTGTTTCTCAAAATGAACGAAAATGGATAAACATCATGAGTTATAGCCCATTAATGCCGCAAATTTTAAAATATGCATATTCAACAACCATTGGATCGAAACAAATGACAAAAATCATAGGGTTATAGTCTAATATATGATATTTCAAATCCAGGTTAGCAATTTACTAATATAAGAAGCTACAATTGGTCTGAGCACACAATATTTTCTAGGATTTGTTTCATAAGAGCTGAAGTTATATTCTGACCTTGAGCAATATATCAAGCTCAACCCTCTTCCTTTTTCCTCGAGAAAAAACCCTCCCAATTAGAGGGAGGGGATATGTTGCTTGTAAATGAAAAATTTACTAGATTAGTGATTTTTTTTCTCTCAAGGGAAAAATTAGTTATGTGCCAATTATAAGTAGGGGATCACGAGGCAAAATTTTAAAGTTCGGGGGAGGAGGGGGGTTGTGAGCCACCCCAAAGTTCAAGGGATTATGTAATGTAAGATTAATAAAAAGATCAAGGGAGTTATGCGCAAAACCCTCCAACTTCAGGGGGATTTTGTGGTGGTCACCCTAAAATGTTAATATTCTGTTTGTATTAAAATTTTAAGGATAAATCAAACAAGTAATAAATAAGTGCAGAATAAAATATCATTAATCAAATAGCTTGCAAGAGATAGAAAACAGTGTATATCCAGCGATATTATCAGTGAACAACATTAAAGGTAAAGAATTTCTACATAAAGGTCAAGAACATATGCATTTTTGGAGAAAAAGCATTAAGAAATCATGTATCATTAAGGTAACAAATTTACATGGGCAAAACTTAATAGAAGAGAAGCAACTCAACCTTCATAGAACTATAAGAAAGTTATTTTTATACAGGAGGACAGATATGCAAGGCAAAAGGTGCAGGCTTTTGCATTTTCAGCTTTTTACTCTCTTAGTAGAAGTAATTAAGAAAATTATTAAGAAGTCAACCTTTCAAGTTGTATTCGACAAAGCTACTGAGAGGTTTACCAAACTATCAGATTTAACCTTTCAAGTTGCATTCGACAAAGCTACTGAAAGGTTTACCTAACTATCAAATTGAAATATGGCACAAGACACTACTAAAAGAGAAGCCGTGTCCTCAAACTTCACTCCTTGTCAAAATTTTGAAACTAAGCAAATCTCCAATGATAACACAGTCAAAGATCTATTAGCAGAAAAGTATGTCAGGCTGCTTTATTACTTATTAGTTAGTTATGATTCACGAAAAGCAAAAGAGAAGGTAATCTTGAAGATTGCTCACCAGTATAGATCAATTTAACAGCAAAATTGAATTCTAGTATAGAAGATTTCTAGTATGACAAAGTGTACCTCACTACTACTCCTGTAAAATGCATAAGAATGCTAGCTGCTATGGTTTCTGAGCTATGTCGCATTCATCTCAAAATTTGTGTTAAAAATCCGATCATTATACAGTTGTCTTGACATTGATCATTGGTATACATGCGTTCAATCGGAATGCCCTACCATAATCTGCTCTAAAGGTATCTCAATTCAAATGCCAGCACATCTCAATTCTACCATATTCTTAATCTATAATAATAGCATGAGATGTCCTAAAGAAACATGTTTCCGTTTCTTTAACAAAGAAAGGCATAAAACAAAGATTGCCAAAAACAAACAAGCCACTCTGTGAAGCACCATAGAATCAATCATCGATTGTCCAGTAGAATATAAGTCACAACTCATATTATACGTCCCATAGATCGTTGTCTTCTCTCCCTACTACAGATTAATTGGATAACAAGAAAGGTCCTCTCTAAAAAGAAGTTTTTGTCCTCTAGTCTATAAAAGTTCTAGTATGTCAATTTTAGAACTTTTGTTCGAAATGTTTAAAACACTCAGATCGGTTCTTAAACTAGAGTACATGCACCTTAGATTTAAATTTTGCTATCAAGGCCTTACCATATTGCAATAGCTTTGAGTGTACAGCAACTACATAACCAATATGAATGACAGAGATCTCAATTTGGATATCATTATCCATCTCAACTCAACCATGATGCTAATCTACAAATTACATGATATACCTTAATAAATAACATGTTCATGTTTTTCTTTAAACCATGTTCTTCTAACAAAGAATCACATACAACAAAGGAATAGAAGAAAAAAAGTGTGGGCTATATACAGACATACCAAACTCTGAAGGCAGATCGCAAGTAAAAATATTGTCTGCTCTCCGAGCTCCTGATGAGCCCTCCCAACTAACCACACCCTCGAAGAAGATATCCTTCTCATAACTCACCATCCCTCTCCACTATAGATCAATTGAACACCAAGGTTCTTTCTAGAAACAGATAAGTTGGATTATCTTCTAGTCTAGAAAATTTCTAGTATGTTAATTTTGGTCGTTCAATTGCTATGGCTCTTGAACGGAATTTTCCTGTTAAGGTTTCACAATGCTACGAAAGCTTTGATTTGTCATCAACAAGACACGCATTCAATTTGAATGTATGTATAACAAGAAATATGTTTGTATTTCTTTTAAACCACAACCTTCTATGCTAATGAACGAAGAATCACATAAGACCAAGAAAATTGAAGTACAAAGTCAGCGGCAATTACAAACATACCGATCTCTGAAGCGCCAAAGAATCGATCATCGAGTAGAATATACAACAAGACTCAAAATATTGTCTGCTCTCCAAGCTCTTGACCAGCCATCCCTTCTCTAATAACCCTCGCAAAAAACTCCTCCAAAGTATCCTTCCCATAGCTCGGCGTCTTCTCCCCACTATACTCCCCCGTCTCCGGATCCAGCACCAGCATACTCTCTGCTGCATAATACCTCCCAATCTTCCCAAACTCCGCCGCATCCTCCAGCGCCGGAAAAACCCTGGCAAGGAAATCAAGAACCCCAATGGCAAAATCCATAATCCCGAGGGGCACTTTCAAGAACTTGGGCTCTTTCCCCAACAATTTAAACAAAATCTCCCCTTGCTCCAATGGAGTTAAGGCTCTCCCGGGCCCGC